AAAGACGAAGTTTGGCCATCCTGGCCTCCAAGGAGCACTCTGGCTGCACTTCTTCCAACACAAATCCATTTGTTCTTTTGGCAGCCCATGGCACTTTGAATATTCTCCTCCTACACCATAACTCAAATGCATCAATTCTTCTACGGTCGTCCTCATTCACTGTCCAGCTTTCACATGCATATGAGGTTATTGAAAATACCATGGTTTTGGTCAGGCGCACCTTAGTCCTCAAGCAGACATCTTTGTCTTTTCAACACTTTAAAAAGGTCTTGTGCAGCAGATTTGCCTAATGCAAAACAGAAACTTAGTATCCCTTAAAGAATAGCTCCCCATTCTTTCTTCCCCCAAGACCTTGTTCTTATTGTTGTTATGTGCTGTCAAGTTGGTTCTGACTCATAGTGATCTTTGTATAGAGTTTCCAAGGAGAGGCTGATAGATTAGAATTGCTGTCCTTGCAGCTAACAGTGCAGTGCTTATCCTACTCCTTGTAAGCGCTAATAAACTTTTGTCTTTATCTACCTGTTCTAGATATTTCATATAAGTGTTAGCTATTGCATATAAGTGGTATCATACAATACTTGTTTTTCTGTGGCTGACTTATTTGACTCAATTATCTTTGTAGCATACATTGAAACTTCATATGTTTTTATTATAGAATCATATTCCATTGTATGGAAGTATCACCATTTACTTACTCATTCACCTATTGGAAGATAGTATGATTGCTTCCAATTTTAGCCATTGTGAATAAGGCTTATAGAAACATTTATTTTTGTGTGAACATAAATCTTCAACATTTAGATAAATACCAAGGAGCATGATTGCTAGATTGTACGATAAAACTGCTTAGTTTTGTAAGAAACTGACAAACTGTCCTTCAAATTGGATGTACCATTTGTATTCCTACCAGCAATACATAAGAATTTCCTGTTACTCCCACATACTTAGCAGCATTTGGTCTTGTCAGTAGTTGGAGTTTGGCATTGTAATAGATGTATGGATTTCTTGGGTGGTGCAAATGATTAACATGACTGAATGTTAATTGAAAAGTTGAAGGTTTAAATGTCCCCAGAGGCACCTTAGTTCTGAAAAAAACAGCCATTAAAAACCCACGTGGCACAGTTTTACTCCAACTCAGGTGGATTGTCTTGAGTTGGGATTGACTCAGTGGCAACTGGATTTTTCTTTTTAATAATTATAAAACATTAATTTTATCTTTGCTAAAATTTACTTTTTTAGCTTTAAGAAATATTGCTGAGAAATGACAGTCTGACCATATCAAGCAAAGTTTTGTATTTTATGTTTCAATCATCATGGTATGTTATTTGTCTTTCCAAATGATCACTGTGTTATATAGTACTCTAATAATAATGGTCCAATGTTCCTAAAGCCTCTTTATCCCCAGCACAATATCTTAAGCTCTATATGGACTCTAATGCTTAGCCTGATGTTCCTCTTTTACTTATACCTGATTCTTATGCCTCCCCTGTATGTGAGAGGTGATGGTGATGTCAGTTCCAACTTATAGTGACCTTGCATAGAGTTGCTGAGGTTGAAAATCTTTCCAGGAGCAGAAAGCCTCATCTTTCTCCCTGCAGAATGGCTCATAGTTTCAAACTGCTGACCTTGAGGTTAGCAGCCCGACTGAACCACTACGCTACCAGAGCTCCTATGGCAATACTCTATATAATTCAATTCATTTGGCAGTACTCTATATAGTTGAATCCATGGTCCATATCGTCTAATCAAAGTCTTTATCCAAACTCTCTGATGTTATCTTCCAGTGCTCAGTGAAGTGTGGTAAAGGTGTACGTCATCGGACCGTGAGGTGTACTAACCCAAGAAAGAAATGTGTTCTCTCCACCAGACCCAGGGAGGCTGAGGATTGTGAGGATTACTCGAAATGCTATGTATGGAGAATGGGTGACTGGTCTAAGGTAAGAACCATATTGTATATTCTCCATATTAGGTTTCAATGATGTCAGCATCACCCTGGGTGCTATAGTCAAAAAGTATGAAGTTTAGGAGGGATAAAAGATAGAGAAAAAGATAATGTGATGTAGAGTATTATTCACACTGAGTTCAAATTCTAGCTCTGCTATTACTATGTCTGATCATAATCTCTATAAACTTTGTTAAAGATTAATCAAGATAAAGTGCATGTAGCACCATACTTGGCACAACAGAAGTATACTAAAAAAAAAAAAAAAAATTGTTGTTGTTGAGTGCCATCCAGTCAGCTCCAACTCATAGCCACCCTGTCTATGGTTTCCAAGGAGCAGCTGGTGGGTTTGAACTCTGACCTTGTTGCTCACAAAATTTATAAGTGTAGAGACTCATTAAAGGGCTTTGGATAATAGCCCCTTATATTCACTGTGAAGATTAATAACTCTGAAGATTAATAAACCCTATTTTATAAATCCCATGCTCAAAAATGAACCCTGGTGTGGCACTTTAAGACAAGCACTAAACTGATAACCATAAGGTCACCAGTTCAAACCCACCAGTTGCTCTTGGAAACCCCATACAGGATCACCATGAATTGGAACTGAGTCAACAACAAAATGTTAAAAGATAAAATTCTGATCCAACCTGGATGAAAGCAGCTTTCAAATATTTGTTTTCAGAAATGTATTAATACAAACAGTCTCTTGTGTCTTTGCTCATTTATCATTCTTGAGTATGCTCATAATCAAAGAGCATCTGAAATAAACAGCTTTTTAGCAAAAAAAATAACCACAACTAATTTCTGTTCACATCCAGTGTTTATTTTTACTTAATAAAAAGAGAGAAATACAGTTTGATGATAAAGACATAGATTGACTAGGAAGTCAAGATAAGCAGCGAACAATTTGTATTCCCTCATTACACAAATGCACAAATTGGTCAAGCCATACAATTTTTTGGTATCTTTGTCTCCAATGAATGAAAAAACAAAATGAAAAAAAAAAGTAGACACCAGTGCTTTCAAGTTATCCTTGTATTAACTTGCCATTCGGCACTGAGGAAAAAGAAAAGTTCAAGTCGGGTTGGGTGAGGCAGATGTCCTATTGTTCCATTAGAATTGTATCAAATTATTTATTTTACTTGTTAAATTAAATTCTTGACAAGTGTTCTTTAAAAGAAACGATTCTGTTGTAAGAAAAAATTTCAAAATCACTAGAATAGATGAAGCATATCATTTTTACAATTTTGGAAACTAATAATAATATTTTAAGTGATAAACATTTTTAATCCTCAATTAACTATAAACGTCCCACAATTCCAGAAGATATGCTTGTATTGTGTGTTTTATATAACACAGAATTTTCATGAGAAATACTACTGCTCTGCTTTGTATTATCAATGGTTTGTAATTTTCAACAAGGACAATCTGTGCAAGCTTTGCTAGATTTGCACCTATTTCATCTTACTGTGTGATTCTAAAAGGTATTATATTTTGTGTTTTATTTTCCAATTGCTCATTGCTTATGTATAGATAGATGATTAGTTTATGTGTTGACTTTCTATTATTTATTTATTTTTAAACATGAACTGTACCTATTCTGTTTGCCCTTGAAGGAAAACATTAGAATGGGTTGTTTTTAAGCTAAATGTGTCTCCACTTGAGTGCTGCGAAAGAGCTTTCCCACCCAAAAGTGATGTTTCTGCTTCTTTTATTTCCATTGCTCTTTTGTATAGTTCAGCAGCCTTTTCAAAATCTCCTTCTTCATAGCTAAGTACAGCTAACTTTTTTAAATGTTTCTCCAACTCAAGGATGCATCTGACCCAGGCTGTCTTCATAAATCTTTAATACTTTTTCATATAATGGCAAGGCTTCAATGTGTTTCTTCATTTGGCTATAAAGAACAGCTAAATTCACCAAGGCAGTCGCTACACTAGGGTGCTTTGGGCCAAATGATTTCTGACGAATTTCCACAGCCAACTCATACAAAGGTACAGCCTTGTCAAGTTTCCCCATTTTTTTTTATACAAGATTGCAAGATGCTTCACATTATAAGCCAAAGAAGGGTGATCAGGTGCTAATGCTCTTCTCCGAATGTCTTTCATAAAGCTCTTCTGCTTTATCATACTGTTTCTTCTCATTGCATAGAGCTGCCAGATTATTCAACGACTGGGTACAGTCAGGGTGGTCTGGTCCTAGGAGTCGCTCCCTCATTTCTAAGGAACACTTCAGAAACTGGTCAGCTGTGTCCAGGTTGTTCTGAAGATAGTAGAGGACTCTCAGCTCATTGAGGGTCCAAGCGTTCTCAGGCGTGTCCTTAACCTAAGGTGAGCGCCTCCAACTGCAGGGCCCATTGACATAAGAGAGCAAATCCATACAAGTTGCCTTTTCTCTTTGTAGATTTGTGGCGAATTTTAAAGGACTTTTTCCTGAAATGTTCAGCTTGTTTATATTTATTTTGTTTCTGGTACAAGGTTGCGAGTGCCTCAAGTTCACAAGCAATATGCAGATGGTCCGCACCATAAGCATTTCCCCAGATTTCCAATGCCTGCTTATATAGTTGTTCTGCATTGCCAAACTTCTTCCACTGCACATACACACTGGCTAGTTGGTGAAGAGACTGAGCTACTCTTGGGTGATCTGGATCCAAAGCTGATTCTCGAATTTCTGGAGACCTCTGCAAAGGCACCACAGCCTGACTCAGAAGGCCTAGATCCTTGAGAAACTGCCCCAGGGTTTCATAAAGATATGCTAGGCAAATCATGTTCTCTTCGCCTTCACAATTTTTCTCATACTGCTTCAGTGAATCAAAATATTCTGTTGCAATCGCGTTGTTGTCTTTACCAACAAATTGCCAATAACTCAGAAACTCGGCAAAAGTGCCCTCTGTTTCAACAAATCACAGCATCTTCATAAAAAACAAAGTTTACAATCCACTGTAAAGTCAGGATTCCTATCAAGCTATTGACAATCTATTAGTAGGCAAGTATTGTACAGTAAGATTAGACTGTTGACTCGGACTGCCATATGAGTCCCACTGCATCCTAGCTGTATGACTTTCAGCAGGTAGGTACCTTCACTTCTTCACACCTCATCGTCCTTATCTGCAGAAAATAAATAAATAAGTAAATAAAATTGACTTTCTATTTTGAGAACTTTCTGAACTCATCAGTTCTAGGAGTCTTTTGATGGATTCCTTAGAATTTTCTACATAGACAATCATGTAATCATCAAATGCAAATAATTTTCTTTCTTCCTTTCTGATTTTTATGCCTTCTCTTTCATTTCTGGCCTTAATGCACTGACTATAACCTCCAACTATGTTGAATAGCACTGGTGAGAAAAGTTGGTGAGCCTTGTTTCTGATCCTAGAGGGAAAACAGTCAATCTTTTCCCATTAGGTATGATGTTGACCATTGAAAATACTATAACTTTTTACTAATGTAATAATATGGCATATAGTTAAATCTTTGGAGTCTTGGTGTGGCACTATAGGATAAGCACTGGACTGCTAACCTGAAGGTCAGTGGTTCAAACCCACCAGCCACTCCTTGGAAACCCTTTAAAGGATCAGTATGAATTGGAACCGACTCGACAGCACTTAACAACAATAATTTGAATTTTATGTGCTTTAGGATGAGCACAGGACTGTTAACCACAAAAGTCAACAATTCAAACCCACTAGTCTCTCTGATGGAGTCCTGGTGTGGTGCTGTAAAATAAGCACTGGAACCGTAATGTTGGTTTGAACCTCAGGTTGGAGGTTCAATCTCACCAGCCACTCCTCAGAAACCCTATACACAGTCGCTCTGAGTCGGAGCTGACTTGATGGTACCAACATAGTTAAAAATTAAGCAAACTCAAAATTAAGTGGGGATATCAGAGTACTGAATTGTTCTTTTAAAAATAATTCTAGAACAACAACAACAAACATTTTATTTTGCCATAATTATATGCATACAATTTTTTAATTAATTGATTTCTTTAAATTTTTGTCTTGTTGTGTTACTAATTTGGTACCCAGTTAAAACAGTCTTTCTGATTGAAGAAAGAAATGGATAACTCAAAAAATAGTTATATTTATTCTCATGCCATTTACCTTTATTGTTCTGTTTCTTGAAAGATGCACTGTTGTTGTTATGTGCCATGAGTCAGTTTCAACTCATCGTAACCCTGTTTAGGGTTTCTGAGGCTTTAAATCTTTTTTTCTGGAGCAGAAAGCATCATGTTTCTCCTGCAGAATGGTTGGTGGGCTTGAATTGCTGATCTTGTGCTAATTAGTTCTGTGCTTACCCTCTGGTACCACTCTGCTCCCAGAAAGATATACTAGGCTGTGGTATTTTCCACTTTGGGAAGTTTCTTTATGTGAATATCTATCTTCTCATTCCTTAATACCATTTTTTCCTTCCTTCACTTAAGGGTCTCAGCATCACAGATTCAAACAGCAGTGGGCGCAGAAAGCCTCATTTTTCTCCCGATATTAATTAATGGTGCATACTTATTCAACTGAAATATAATCAGAAACAAGATACTATGGAATTAAATATATCGTGGGTTAATTCTTGGATTCAGTTTTTATGCTACAATTCAAATTTATGTAGTTTTTGCTGGGAAACAATAATTTTCACCACACATTAAATTCTGATACTTCAAATAGATTTTAGTTAAGAGATTACAGGTCACTTTGAGATTATATAATTGAAAATAATGCTTGTATCACAGTACACTATTTTGGGTTGATTTAACTCTATATATTATAAAGTATACCTTTGCTTACAAGTGATAAATAAAAAGTTTTCAATATGAAAATGATTTTTATTTGTCCTGTGAAGGAAACCATAGTTATATCAATTACGAAGGAAAAGAGTTAGAGGAATAATCTAAAAATCAAAGTAATTGCTGGAGCAAGTATGCTAGTCTAAATGCATGCTAAATATAAAAGTTGTATTAATATTAATAGAAATTTTACTTATCCTGAGGTAATTCTTGCAG